TAATAATTTATAAATATATTTTATCAATCTTTGTACAGAAATATTCTAATGACTCTTCTTTAAATATGCTTCTTTCTTTTGTTTCTTTCAAATTAAATTATTATTTGAAGATAGAATGTCAGAAACACTAAACAAACATTAATATAAATTTGTGTTTTAAATATCCCAGCTGTTATTTGGTTATTTAGTTTCATTTTGTGTGTAAATACCTATTCAATACTAATTAGTTATTATTATAATAGTATTATTATTTATTATAATTGGATATTATTAATCAACGAGTGAGAATATTTGACAATGAATGGTTTGAATTGAATATAGAGAGTGTTTTTACGAAAAAAATAGTTTATTATTTGATTGTTGATATTGAAGGAGAGAAAACACTGACATAAAGTTATTGACATATTCTTCTTATAACGACGATATAAAGAATAAGGTGTTTTAACATTCGTTAAAATAAAAATTAAAATCAAATAACTTAAATTAAGAAAAATTAATTTAATAATGTTTGAAAAGACGTTAAAACAAAAGAAATAAAACATGATGAGTAAATTGAATCGTTCACTTCTCAATATGATTAACTACTACTAATTATTAAGTAAGTCATAATTGATTTCTTTTTATTTATCCTCTTTTACAATTAATTGTTATTATCCTTAATTAATATACATTTAACACAATAAAAATTCTTGTTTATTAATTTATGTCTTTTTTTTACTCTTTTGTCATGTTATTTAAATTCTTCAATTGCATAGAACAAAGCAGAAACTTTTCTGAGACCATTTTACTTTTATTAATATGATATATGACATACCCTTCAATTTTTATATCAACTCTATAATATAAATTATAGGATTTACCATCTTTTGGAAGAATACCGATATATAATCATTTATATTGTCAGTAATACTCATCCATTTCTTGACAAATGGTAGTAAAGAAAGTCATTAGACTCAATGATTTCTTTCAATTAATATGAAAGGTCATAACAAGTATCTCTCCTCATCATAAAAGAACAGAAAACAATTCTGTTATTTTATCATTTACTATTTAGTATTGTTATTTTTCTATATTATTTATTCGATTATTTTAGTTATAAATAACAAAATGAGTCAATTCTTTTTTCCATAGCTTGTTACTTAATTTTTAAGCATCTAAGATTGAATTGTTAAACTACAAAATCAATAGACTCTTAAAAATGGGTTGTGTTTCATGCGTATTATTAATAATTCTTGCTTTTATTTTCCCACCTTTAGCTGTATTAATTAAAGCAGATTGTGGATTCAGTCTCTGTTTGAATATCATCTTGACTTTAATATGTTGGATCCCAGGTGTGATTCATGCTATTTACGTTGTCATAACAGATTAATAGAACTTTGTATTTTCCTAAAGGATTAATACAACTTTTGCTTTATACTTTCTTTGTTACTTTTTCGTTCCTTCTATATCTTGAGAATGTATAAAAGAAATTTTTTGAAACGAAAAATATTTCTCACGACTTTATAACAAAAACAAAAATAACTAAAATTATTCAAACTTTTCTCTTTAACAAAAAATAATCTTTTCAGAATAATATTGATTTAAGAAAATAAATTAATATAATTTTTATTAATATAAATAACATACTTTCTTTTCATTAAAATAAGATACATAAAATACAAAATAAGATAAGAGAAAAAAACACAAAAAAATCGAATCATTTATTTGTCTTTCTTTTCATTTCCAAGTTCGAAGTGCTTGCATCTCTTTAAGCATTTTTGAAGCTTATACTTGCATTTAGTACATTCGATCTTTAAGACAACTTTCTTAGTAGTTTTAGCCTTCTTCTTGAAAACTGGCTTGGTTTGACCTCCAAAACCTTGTTGCTTACGATCATATCTTCTCTTACCTTGGACATGGAGTGAATCCTTTCCTTTCTTATATTGAGAAACCTTATGTGGAGTATGTTTATCGCATCTTGGGCAATAAGTTTTCCTAGTCTTTGGAACCACAACCATCTTCTGACTTTTAGGGTTGCAATCTTTTTAGTTCATTAATGGGTTTCTTAAATAATGGTTTTATTATAATTCTTTTTAGTTCATTATTATTCTTTATGAATAACACAATTAAAAAAAATGTTATTTAGTTGAGATGGGGGAGTTGTTGAGATATATCATGCAAAGCAGATGACAAGACTCGTTGAATAGATGAGGCTATTAATTTTAATTTTTCTGGAGAAGGATTGCGAATACCTATAGCAACAATTAATGTTTCAACACCTCCTAATAATGAAAACAATTGACGAGACAAAGCAGTAGGGAATGGGTTTTGAGAATTGCTTTTTCCAAATCTAAGTTCGGTTGAAGTTTGTGTACAAACAACCCATTGACTGAAACACCCACAATCACTTAAGCAAATGAGCATTGTTTGTGTGTCTGAATATTGAGTTATTGAAACATTTATTAAATGGTCAGAGCTTATTGTTGTTGTAATTGTGTATTGTTTCTCTGTTCCTTTAATTAGTGAGTAACTTGGTTTTGTGGAAGCCATTGTAAGTGAATCAATAAAAGTCTTTTTAAATTCATTTTTTAAAATTTTAGCTTCTGAAATAATATTTGTATAAGAACAATCTCTTGAAATTACTGTGTGAAGAACGAGATATGAAAGAAACAAATAAAATAAAGTCTTATTAAAAATTATCATCTTAAAGTGTTTTACTTCATCCAATAATCTTCACTTTCATGTCTCTTCACAGGACAAAAAAATGTCTCTTTAAATGTAACCACATCAACAATATTATAAGGTGTTTAACAGAAGATTGTGATTAAAACTTGATATTGTTATTCTGAAATAAAACCGTCATAAACAACAAAAAAATACTCAACAAAAAAAAATAAGGGAAATATAAAAAGAAAAAGAAAAAAAATCTCAAAAATCAAACAAGTGAGAAAGATGTCTGAATTTCAGGAATATCCAAGTCAACCATCTGTACAGTCAGGAGATTCTACATCAGTAAAAAGTGATGAGCCAATTGAGACTACTCTTGATGAACCAGTTCTTACTACTTTGGTTTGTTCGTGTTGGAGATTGTATTATATCGTTTTTGAAATTAAAAGAAAGAGATAGAAAAGTAATAAAATGTAGTGGAGAGAAATTAAGCAAGTATGTACAAAATTATTCCATGTTGTTGTTTTCTGTACTAAAACAGAAAAAGTTATAAAAGACTGGGATTTATGGGGACCAATGCTCGTATGTTATATTCTTTCTTTATTACTTTCCATTAATATTATGGTTCGTAAAGGCAATGATGGTAAAGATGACCAATACAGTTCTTATATATTTTCCATTGTTTTTATTTGTTTCTGGTTAGGATCAATAGTTATTTCATTAAACACTAAATTCCTTGGTGGTCATTTAACTATTCCACAAAGTATCTGTATTGTTGGGTATTGTGTTTTCCCAATTTTTGTTGGTGCTATTACTACAACTATTGCAACAATTTGTTGGTCACCACTTTCTATTTATGTTGGAGTTCCAATCATGATTCTTTGTGATATCTGGTCATGTATGGGTTTGTTTTCTTTTTGTTATAATATCTTTCTGTTGAAATACTTAATATTGTTTTAGCATCATTTGGATTCCTTCAAAGTGCTATTAAATTAACTAGAAGGCCATTAGCTGTTTTCCCAATTGTGTTATTCTTTACTATGTTATCATGGTTAACTCTTGTTGTCAATATCACAGGTTTTACTAGCAATAAGGCTACCAGTGAAGCTTAAAGAAGAAAGGGAAAATTGATCTGTTTTTGACATTTCATTTATTTAAAGAAAATCAAAAAATAAAGAATAAAAAAATAAAAATAACTCAATGTTTAAAAACAATAAACCATTGACTCTTGTAGAACAGAAACAGCTATCTAAATCTACTGAGGCATATCAACAAGGGGTTATGATATATTTACTTGTTAAAAGTGGGTTTGAGGTACGAGTCAAACGTCTAGATAAAAGTGCTAAAAAGACAATTCAAAATTATCCTATAGTTTCATTAAAAAATTGTAAAACTGAAGAGGTTATTCCTTTTCAACAAAAAGTTGAGGAAGAAGCAAATTTTGCACGTAATAGAGAAGAAAAAGAACAACCTTCAGACCAAATACAACGACACTATGAAAGAAATAAAGTAACAATTGCATGTAATCGAACTATAGAATTTGTAGAGCAATTAGGATTTACTATAGAACAACGAGGAACAAGATCAACAAAATATACAGTAAAATTAAAGAAATTTTCACAAGTTATTGGTAATGGAATTAAAATAGTAAAAGAAGATATTTTTACTATTGGAGGAAGTGTTATGAAGTATATTAAAGGAACTTTTGGAAAAAATGAAGAAAGTATTATTGGAGTAGATTTATTAAATTCATTAATATTCCCAAATGTAAGTATTGATGATGTTAAACAAAAAACAGAAGGTGATACTATTATTCACAACGAAAGACTTATTAGTTATGAAGATCCTAAAGAAGAGGAAAATACTATTGAAAGTAAAGAAATAAATAAAGAAAATAAAAGTTTTAATAAATGTGAAATTGTTGATGAATTTGATTTAGGTATAGATATTCCTAATGAATTTATTGTTAAAGAAAAAAAAGATTTAACATCAGAAATAACTGGAAGTATTGTTCATTCATATGATCCTATTTTTTCATTTTATACTCCAAATGATATTAATTCAAAATGGGCTAAAAAATAAAAAGTTACTTTAACACTCTGATTATTTTATCATTATTATTCCTTCATATCATTTAATTTATTTTTTTTTTGTTTTTTGTTATTTTGTTTTATAAAATATCATAAATAACAAAAAAATAATTTAATAATTATTTTTATTAAAATTAATAAATTTGATTTATTATTTAAAATTATTTATAATATTATTAATTCATTTAATATTTAGTTTGTAGATTATTGTTTGATTGGTTTATAAACAATTGTTTTTTATTGAACAACATTTAAAAACATTTTTATACCCCACAAAAAATGATAATACAATTTTTTTTTTTTTAAATTTTTAATAAAATGAAGCAAGTGGGAGATATTAATATTGTACAAAAATAGTTTCATTTAATAAGTTTCATTCAATTTTAATTTAGTTGTTGCTTTGTAATTGGTATTATTAAATTTAATGAAGTTATATACTTCACTTAGTAAGATAAGTAATAATAAGATAAATAAAATATCTGTTATTTAAAACAGAAAACAAGTGTTAGTTATAAATAAAAAAACTAATTTTATTATAAATTTACTAAAATGATGATACTATCTTATAAAATTAATGATTATAATCCATTTGCCGAAACTCCATTAGCAAATAAGTTTTATTAAAAGGGAATTTTAACTAAATATAAAAGAAAGACTAAAATAATTCTATAATAATAGATTTAGTTACCAACGTTTAATAAGACTATAAACAAACCCTTATAAAAAAGATAATAAAGAAAATGAAATGAGTTAAAACATGAAAAGAAGTTAAAATGGTTAATTTATTTTTTTTTTTAATTATAATATAATTTAAAAAATGTCTTTTCTTTTAATTTAACTTAAAATAGGATTTTTTTTTATTGTTAAAAAATGGTTTTAATCTACTTCAAGTATAAGATTTGTTTGCCACCTCATTTTTATCTTAGAAGAAGTATGAATTATAAAAAGATAAAAAAGAAGAACTTAAAAAAATTGAGAAAAAGAAAAAGGATGTCTAGTTTTGGTGCATACATTTCAGGAGAGAGTAGTAGTGAAGGCAGTGGGTTACATCATTTATCACCAACACATCCTCACGAAAGATCAAGTTCAATTTCTCCTCAAAGAAAACAAAGAAAACAATATACAATCACGAAAAAAAGAGAAGTTTGGACAGACGAAGAACATGCCCTTTTCTTAGAGGGGTTATCTTTGTATCATCGTGACTGGAAAAGAATAGAACAACATGTCAAAACTAAAACCGTTGTACAAATACGAAGTCATGCTCAAAAATACTTCCTAAAACTCCAAAAAATGCAACAACAAAATCCATCTTCTTCTCAAGATCTTCCATTGGTAAATTCTAATTTGTCTGACAAAAAACCATTAAGTACTCTTGAAAATGGGAAGAAAAGAAGAAATTCATTATCTGCTTTTACCCCTGTTGAAAGCACTCTTGAGTATTCTATTATTAACTTTTCTAATTCTGAATTTAATTCTCCCATCAACCCTTCTTCTCCTTTTAATGAACCAGTTAACACCCAGCGTCACAATCAATATTTCCATCCGATTTATACCAATTAGACGTTTTTATCATTTTTGTGCTGTGTTTGTATTGATATTTAATTGATTTTATGTGAGAATGTTTCTTTGGGATATTTAATTTATTTATTGTATAAAATTTATTCCCTTTTTTTGTTTCTATTCATAAATCTTTTTTTGCAATACTAAAAGTTAAGTACTGAGAAATTTAGAAACGAAATAACATATTTTTTTGTTTTATTGTATTGTACTGAAATAAATAGTGTTTGTTGAAGAATGGAAACGTCAAGAAAATAGAAAATCTTAAAAACAAAACTAAAAAGATTCTCTAATCACTCACAAATGACAACACTTCAAGATGATAATTCATTAGTTACAAGTCAAAGAGCTGAATATTATCCTAATTCAAAAGCACCAAATTATAACCCACCAACAGCCCAAAATTTTAGTCAAAATCTCATTTCTCAAGAATCTGGAACTGTTCCTATTGAACAGTCTCAACAAACTTATTTTGCTAAAACTTATGTTCCTCCAAATCAATACATTTCACAATATATGTCAGAACAACCACAAAATGAAGTTCAAATAAATAACCAAATACCTCCTAATGCTATGAATGTTCAGTCATTACCTCCTTATTTAACACAACCAACTCAAATGAACCAAGAGACTACTATTCCAGTTCCATATATTCAACAACCATCTTATAATCAAAACCAATTTGTTGTACCAACACAATATGAAGAGCCTAATGTTGTTAATGATTTTGATCAATCAGATAATCTGAGGGAAAAGAAATATGCACGTTTAACTATTACTTTTGCTATATTAGGAATTTTCATGTCACCACTCTTTATTCTTTCCTTCTTATTTTCAAGAAAATCAAAGAGAAAGTCTATTAGAGTAATTGGCAATATGGCTCTTTTATGTTTTGATATTCTCTTATTAGTATTTGTCTTCTGGATCTTTACGTCTTATTAACTTTTTAAATAAATTCAATTAGAATAATTAAAACTTTTTAATAAATTTTTAAATCATTCAATTACATTTAAATGTTTAAGAATATAATAATATCATTATCTTTATTAAAAGTATGTCATAATGTTATATTAAATAATTTAGAAATGTTTTCTTATAATAAAATTCTTCTTTATCTATTAAATAGTTAAAAAGAAAATAAAAGAGTTTATTTAAAATATAATACTCTTTAAATTTATTGTAGTTTTTGTTGAATTTCATCATCATTTTTAGTTAATATTAAAAAAGAACATAGCCTCATTCTTCTTATTAATAATGTATATATTGTTTGTGCAATTCTTTCAATATCTGATTTACTAAATTGTTTTCCATCAATATTTACAGAACATATTGTTTCTATTACCAATGCTCCATTTTTTCCAGATGTTCTTTCTGTTTCAAAGACAGCACCATGTTCAGTTAAAATATCTTTCATTAAACCTAAAGAAATTATCCTTTTATTACTTTCACTTCTTCTTCTGGCAGTTTTTTCACTAATTCCATTTTTCATATCAAATTTTTCTCGTTGTTTACATCTTTGACTAACAAATGATTCAAATTGAATAATGTCGGTGTCTGAAAATTTTAATGTTTCAATTTTAAAAAATTGAAGACATACCTTGCTTGTTTTAAAGGGTTTAGATATTGTAATACTACAATTTTTATTTAATAATGCAAGGAGAAAAGTTTGTTGTTGTGTTTGATAATTTCTAAACGCTTGAAACTTTTCTTTGTGTCTTTGATTCATACCACAGTTTCCATATTATTCACAGTTTCATTTAGTTTCTTCGATTCATCATACAAAATTGAATATTACAAAGTATTAATGAATTTTCAAAACTATTACTAACTATTTTTTGTTTTAATAATATTTAATTTCATAATTCATACCCCCTACGTTTTCAATTTCAATTCTTTGAACCACATATACATTTTTAAAACCATACTATAATTTTTAAAAAACATTAATATCCTATTTGATTTTAATTTACAAAAAGTGTCATATCATAAATTTATGTAAAGATATTTATTGAATTAACATATCAAAAAATTAAAAAAAAAATAATAAAATATAAATATTGAATGAATGTTTTATTATTTTTTAAAGATTTTTATTTAAAATCTAAATAGGATATTTTTTATTAACTTTTTTATTTTTAAATTGTATTAAACAAAAAAATTGAATGAAAATGAAAGAATGAGTAATTAATAATATTATTTTAGTTCTTTCTTTATCATAACAAATAAATTATTTTATTTATTTCATTTAGTAACTCAACATTTAATATAATTATGAAAGAAACTCAACATAATAAATACCTCAACCAATAAAAATTGAATATGAAAAAAAATAAAATAACCCTAAAAATATCCTTTTTAATTCAATTTTCTCCAAACAACTGAATTGCATTTCAGTCCAGAACCAAATGCAAGTTGCCAAACTTTATCACCTTTCTTTAATGTATCAACTCTTTCAATGAACTTCATTTCATACCATACAGATGAGGATGATGTATTACCAAATCTATATAAAGTAGCTCTTGATGGCATACAATCTTCATCAGTTAATTTTAAATTTTCTTGAAGACCATCAACAATAGCTCTTCCACCAGCATGAATACAAAATGCTTGGAATGTTTCTCTGAAATTTGGCATAAAAATTTCTTTAGAGTCAATTTTTCCTAATTTTTGTTTAATGAAGAAAATAATAAATTTGATCATTTCTTTGTATGAAATAACTCGTGGCATTAATAAATTAAGGTTTTGTGTTAATGCCCTTGTAACACATTTTAATAATTCTCTACCAATTTTTACTCCAACAATTCCTTCATCATCTTCATATTGGAATACAGCATTATAAGAGTCATCATATTTACCATGATGAATACGTTGTGTATCAACACATTCAAATTTAGCTTTATTTCTCCAACTTCTTTTATTAGATAATAATATTGCGGCACCTCCCATTCTAAATAATGTATTTGATATTAACATTCCTTTAACCTTACCTGGATAATAATTCTTTGTTAAATTTTCTGTAGAAAATACAAGAATGTTAATGTTTGGATATGTCTGTAACAAATCTTTAGCTAAGTCAATTGATACTAAACCAGCTGAACATCCCATACCTGATAATGTATAATTTTTAACAGTAGTTTTTAATTTATACATATTAATTAACATTGCTGACATTGATGGTGTTGGATTAAATAATGAGCAATTAGTAATAACTATATCAATGTCTTTAGTTGGATCAATTCCTGTTTGTGCAAATAATTGATCACATGCTAATTTCATTACAATATTAACTTCTTCTCTTGCATCTGCCATTGAAACAGTAATAGGAATTCTATGAAGTGCCTCAGGTAAATATGTCTCTTCACCAAGACCTGTACGTGAAGCCAATTTTTTCTGGAAGTCTAATTGTTCTTGTTCAAATGATCCAGTTCCTTCAATAATTTTAACAAATTCTTCTGTTGTAACTTTATACTTGTCATCAGGAATTGATGTAGCAAATGAAACTAAATAAACTGGGTATGGTCTTCTTAAGTACCATATCCATACTCCAATAATAAAAATTCCTACGACTATTGCTGCTGATATATAAACTTGAAACTCTGGATTAATACTTGTTTGTTTCATTACAAAATAGAATAAACCATACATCATTCTTAATACAAAATAAAGAATAATAAAACAAATTAACTTTACAATATAGTCTAATGCTTTAGTTGTTATGTCTGGACGTAATACATTCTTATGGAGTGATGGAAGAATCTCATTTTGTTCTCCATCAGCCATTGGATACCAATAAGGTTTAAGACTTCTCTCCTTGTCCATTTACTTCAATTTGATTTCTAGTTCTTTGCTTCTTTTCCTTTCCAATCGTTCTTTGTCACTATTAACTCCTTCATCTCTGCTTCCTTTTCAATTTTTTTCTAATTTTTAATCTTTCTTTCAAATATAAAGTTATAGGGTTATTATTTGCTATTATAACTTAAATGGAATGACTCAATTTGGTAATAAAAAACAACAAAACTCAAAAATAACTCCTTGAACTTATTCAACTTTTTATTTTTTTTAAACTCACAAAAATCACGATATCATCAATTTTTGAAAAGGAAAAGATAATTAATTATTAAATTTGTTTTTGTGTTGTCAATAAAAATTAGAAGTAACTTAAATTTATTGTTGGGTCAAAGACATGTTGTAAACTCTTTAGACAAGATGGCACTTCTAATGAATGAATTTTTGGACACATTTGGAATAATGCAAGTTTCATAGAACTTGGAAGTTTCATATCTCCTAAAGACTCACACGCTTGAACTTCAAGTCTAGTAAGTGAATTAACTCCTTCTAGTCCAATAGTTTTTAGACAAGGGCACATAGCTAATGAACATGAAACAAGTGATGTAGGTAATGTTAAAGATTGAGTATCAGAGAATTTTGCTTCTAAATGAGTTAATTGAGTTAATTCTTTAATACCTTTTTTACCATCTACAACACAAAATCCATCAAGATTATCTTGTATTTCTAAATCTAAAACTCTTAATGAATGAGGGAGTTTAATAACTTCAGTTCTAGGTTTATTCATTCTTAATTCAAGTCGAGTTAATGTAGTAATTAAGCTTAAATCAAGAGGTACTATTTCAGGTTGAATATTATTATATCTTAAAAATGCTAAATGGTCTGAAACTATTGGGGCAGGTAATCTTCCAATTACAATTAAACCATAAGCGTCAAACAATTTCTCAGGTAATGATTGTTGGATAGTAGGAAGATATAGATCATTAATTTTATTAACTTGTTCTATAACTTCACTCGATGGTTCTTCAGGTACTGGAAAAGCAAATGGAGAATGATAACAAGGAATAGTAATAAGTTTTTTTGATGCTATTAATTCAAAAACAGATTTATCTGCTGTATAATCAACACCAATTATGAAATTAGGAAGAATTTTCTTGATAATTTCTACATCGTTACTATCTCTACAATTGTCTATATGAATAATACCATGTGACTTTAAGAATTGTTTTGATAATGACATTAAAGCAGCACTATCTCTCTTCATATTAATTGAATCAAGAATAATAGAGTTGAAAGATAAATCAATGATTGTAGTTGAATTATATAATGCTGTTAGTGTAACACCGTCAATTCTTATTTGATTTAAGTGGTTCATTTCATGAATAGCCCCAAGTAATTCAATACATAAACCACAAGGAAGAATTTCTGTATGAATTGATAATGAAATAATTTTTGGAGCAATAACTTTTAATAATGGAATTGTATGTGCATCAATACCAGAAAAACAAGTGATGTTAAAGAATTCAAATTTGGTTGATTGTTCTTTCCAACGAGTTTCAACATTCTTCCAAAATTCATCATCAGATAATTTGTCATCTTCTTTTGAAACACACAATGAAAATACAATAGAATATAATTCTCCAGTAATGACTTTAGCGTTTGGAAGTAATAGAAATTCTTTTTTTGTTGTAGCACCTCCACAATTAATATTTGTTTTACGACTAGTTAATATTGAGTTACATTTCTTATTAATAAAAGCAAAGGTGTATAAATCTTCTACTGAAAAATAAGAAGTGATAAGAGATAGTACTTCATTTGAACAGGTCATATTATTATTTATGATTTATATGTTCTTCTTTTGCAAAAAAAAAGGGTTTTTTAACAACAAATTTTTTTTTTTTTGTTTTTTAACACAATATTCATGTAAGTTAAGAAAAAAACCATAGTAGTAGTAAAATATTTTTTATTAAAAAATAAAGAAACTTACAATTGAGACGTTAATGAATCAAGAGATATTTATCTGTGGAGTTAAAGTTGGAGTAAATGAGATAGTTACTGGCAAATTATTGAATGAAGTTGTTTTTAACTTATTAAATCAAATAGGCATGAGTAGGTCTTCAACAATTATACAAAGCAATAAAACTTTATCATTAACACAATCTCAAGATACTGCTTATCAAAGCATACAAAAACTTGAAGAGACTCAACCTCATCCAATAGAAAGGAAAAATGATAGGTATAAATCAGCACTACTAAGTCCATCATCTCAAACTGACTTAGAAACTTCTTGTTCATTGTTTACAAATAACACACATACCATTCTAACAACTCAACAAACTAATTCTATACAAACAAAATCTGAAATTATACAACCAATTGAATCATTTAGTCCAATAGATAAAAGAATAAAAGAAAGAGCTAAAACTGAAATTATTACAAAAGAAGTTTTTATTCAAGAAGATGAAGATTTTAAGGGAGATTTAAAATATATCAAAGAGTCAATTACTTACTTTTATAAATGGACAGAATTAAGTCAATGTCGATTAATTTTTGATTCTACAATTGAATATGATCCAGATGAACATGAAGTTTCAAGTTTTAATAGGTTAATTCTCAATAAAGAAAATTTATTACTTATTTATCAAACTAATTTAAAAGGTCATTTAGCAGGAATATTTATTAAAGATAAAATAAAAGTTATTGGAAAGAATATACTCAAAGAAAATAATTTCCCATTTTCATTAAAATGTAATGGAGAATTAGATAGAACAAAAAAGTTTGTTAGATGCAAAGCACAAGGAGTATGTCCTCTTGAATTAACCTTGACACAAACAAATCAAATTGATTTAAAAAATAAACCATTTTTCTTTATCTATGGAAATAGAGATATTTCATTAAAAGTAGGATTGTCTTCATGTTACTCAACTTTAAGTGATGAGTTTATTGATATTAGAGGTACCTTAAATTGTTGTACAGCAATGGGAGGAACTTGTTTTAATGTTGGAAGAATTGTTGTAGTTCAATTATATTAAATTTAGTCTATGAAATAAATAAAAAAAGTACAAAAAAATTCAATTTCACAACATTGATTGAATAGTGGTATATAATGGAGTTTCATCTATAAAACCAACAAAAATGTTAGATTGAATCATTTGGGTAATGAAAGTTCTCCATTCATTACAATGAACACAATTTAATAACAACACGATAATTTGATTTTTCATTATTTTATTTTTAGCACATAATTGAATTGTTTTTATAATACAATCAGAAGGAATTAATTTTCTAATTTGAACAAAGTACATTGTAACAATTTCAATTAACTGAGGTATTTCTATTAATTTTTCTTGAATTAATTTAATATGAGAAGTAATTGTAAAATTCATTCCCATTTTTATTAATTGAATAACAATTTTTAATAACGCATAATTATTATTATTTACCGCTTCTTCAAATAATATATCCATTTGATATTGATTTCTTATTTCTTTTAATTCAGTAACTAGTTTAATAATAACATTACCTATTAATTGAATATTTTTTATTTGTCCATTTAATCCTTCAAGAATACTAATAAATTCTTTTGTTATTTTCATTAATAATTCTCTGTCATGTTGAATTAATTCTTTTTGATCAATAATGGAATTAATAAAATAAAGAACATTATTAATATCATCATTACTTCGTGTATTTTTTAAAATTATTAAAGCGTCATTTATAAAATCTTTTGAATACCAAGTTGATGGAACAAGAAGACGTAATGCAGAGCTTTGATGTTGAATTAATTCATGAAAATCAACAGTAAGTAAAAGTAATGGTTGTAATGCTGGTGATGAGCAATGAAGTAAAATAGGAAGAGAGTTAGGTAATAAATCAACAAATTGAAGAACTAGTTGAGGTTGTTCAATTAAGAAAGACTCAATAAAAGAATCAGATAATAAATGAACTGCAACCGAAATAGTCCAATTATCTATTTGATGAGAAGCAATATTATTTAATAACCACTCTGCATCTAATCTTAAAGATGAAGGAGGAAGAGAAATAATAAATTGAGAAGTGTATTGGTCAATAGATTTAAAATGATTTTTAAGGATAATTGAATGATAAATAGTATAAGGAATATTAGTTAAAAATTGAAACAATAATCCAACATTTTCTACATATATTAAATCTTTATTTTCACTAATAAATCTAATCATTGAAATAAGTAAATGATGTTGATGAATAATTTTTTCATTTCTCCAATAAAATAAAGTTTTAATAATATTATTTATATCATCAGAAGTAATAAATTCCCATGTTAATGTCATTAAACCATCAACCATTTTTTCATTACACAAACCTTGAGCAATTTTAAATCCAAGAGAACGTAAAGAAGGAACATGTGAATGAAGTAATAAATCAATTTCATTTTGAAGTTGTTGAGTGGCATTAGGAATAGTTAAAATATAATTAGGATAATCTTTTACTTCATTAACGTTTTTATCTTTTAAAGCAAGAAGTAACAAATGAATACAAGAAGGAGTTAATATAATCGGTATATTTAATAATTTACATTGAGTAAATAAATATAAACATTTATTTACTGATTCAATTGGAAGAGCAGAGAATGTTAAAAATTTAGGAAGAATAATTGATATTTCAGAATATTCAATAATTAATGACTTGACCTGACTATAAAATGAAGTAATTAAAACAATTAATTGATTCATTAAATCGACTTGAGTTGCTTTCCAATTAAAAGCCATTTCAAAATAAATTTTAAGAACATTGCTTTTATAAATTAAAGTAGTAGATTCTTCATTTTCTAAAGAAAGAACAGCACATAAATAATTTAATGATTCTAAAATAAAAGAATTACAAGTATTAATCATTTTAGAAGAAGAAATAAGAAGTAATAAAGGTTGTAAAATATCTAAAGCCATTTTAGAATGGTCATCTCCTTTAATAATAAATTGAGTAAAAAATTGTAATTGAGAAGCTTTTAATGTTAATGAAGTTTCTTTATTAACTGAGCATACTAAAAATGAAAAATATCCATTTGATTCTATATCATTTGAATTACCATAAATTAAAATATTTCTAATAGGTGGAGCTTTAACTGCAATAGAAAATGTTGTATAAACATTTTGAAGTAATGGTTCATAAGTTTGTTGATTAATAAATAAAATAGAAGAACTAACAAAAGTTAAAGCATCTTTTTCAGAAATAGTAATATGAGGAATAATTGTAGAAATAACTTGTAATAAAATAGCAAATGATTGAATTGGAAGAATTTTAAAAAGAGGAAGAAGAAGAGGTAAAAGAGGAATAGAAATAGAAGAAAAGATAATAGGATTTTTAAAAAGAATATTTAAAAGAATTAAAGTTTCATGAAGAATTTTAATATCATTTTGTTTTAATAAATTTAAAACAATATTAATATTTTCTGATGAATGAATAATTTCATCTTGAACATTTTCATATTGAATAAATTCATTAATAGCAATAATTGATTGTAATGGACTTGTTTTTAAATTAACAAATAAAGTACATATAAATGATGTTTCAATATAATGACTAACAATTTCTCTATGATATTGAGCTGCAATTCTAAGTATTTTATAACATTTTACCATTAATTCATCATCTATTCTAGATAAATAAATAATTCCATCAATAATTCCTCTACTTAATAAAACAATACTTGCCTCATCTCCAAATGTATTTAATAATACTTTACATAATTTTAATCCAATAATTTTTTTTTGTTTAACAGTATTAGAAATAAGAAGTTCTATTAAATCTGGATGATTTTCAATTAACATTTCTGATAAATGATATTTAGAAGAATCTCCTGATTCAATAATATCTTTAAGAATAATTGTAGCAGTAAAATTACTGTCATCTTCTTGTTTAATTGTTTTAAAAACAATTTCTAAAAAATCATCATTAGTACTAAGTTGAGAGAATAATGTTGGAAATGGTTTAAATAATAAAATTATTTCAATAATTGCATTAGTATTTTCTTTATTTTGTCTATCTAATAACATTTCTAATTTAGGTAATAATCCACCATTTAAATATGGTGCAATTGTTTTATTTGTTTTTGAATATGCAATTAATAATATTATAATTGATTGTGCATTATGTGAATCAATTATTTGAATAGTTTCTTTCCACACACTATCACTTATTTTACATTTTGTACTTTCAATACTACATGCAAAAAATCTATACATTACTTCTACTATTCTTTTTTCTTCCACTGACTCACAATATAATGTATTTAATAACTTTAACATTTCTTCACTTGCAAATTGTGTTAATATTCTTTCAATAAATTCTCCTTCTTTATTTTCTTTACTTTCTGTAAATTCTTTTCTATATTCTTTTAATTGATAATTCTCATTTTCAACAAATTCATGTGCTTTTTCAAATACTTCTATAATTTCTCCAATAGTTTGATACTCTCCTTCTTTACTTCCTTTCATACATGACACTACAATACTTCCTAATAAAAACATAATTTTTCTATGATACTCTGTAAATTTTGCTAATTCATTAAATGCATTTCCATCAATCATATTTCTTACACGAATATCTTTTTTAATTGCAAATATTAATATTTCTAATAATGTTAAATGAAATTCTTTAAATTTTAAAATGTTCATTAATGCTGGGATCATTCCTCCTTTAATTAAATCTTCTATTGTATATAGTGAGTCACTCCAATACATTAAAAATTCATTAAACGCTCGTATTTTTGCTTGGTCATTCCCATCATTAAAATATGTCCCTAATACTCCAATACATCCTTTTTGTGAATTGAGATGTTTCTCACATATCCAACAATATCTAGTTCGGTTATCAATACAATTAGAACAAAAATATCGCTGACAACATTTACATTGTGCACGTCGTACAAAAATAATTCCATATGATTTACAACAGGATGGGCAATAAGGCGTTGTATTAACTGGTTGGGGTGCAGCTTGGTAGCAAAGATATTTCTGGTTTGAATTTAATGACATAATAGAGAGTGAAATTATTAAGATGAAAGACAATCTTAATTTCAAGATTTGATAATTAGACTTGAAATTTGATTAACATTGAGTTAATTATTAAAACTATCATTAAATCTTGCCATTAATTTACTAAGAATAATTATTACTAAAAGTATAATATTTTATACTAAATATTAATAATAAAACTAAAAATCAAAATGCAAGAAACAATAACAGACTTACTTAATAAAAGTGATATTGAAAAACATTGCATTGAGGAAGAGGGGACTGTTCAATATTATGTCAATCAATTAATTAACACATTATTGATAGAAAAACAAGTCACTGAAGAAGTAATGAAACTTCAAAACGATTTAGAGGAGTCAATTAAACAAACTGAAAAGAAAGAAAAAGAAATGTATAAAAATAAAGAAGTACTTATCAAAATTAATAATGAAAAGATTGCTTTAAAAGAGAAAATGGAACGAAGTAAAGTAATGTTACAACTTGCTTTTAAACAAAACCAGATGCTTCAAAATGAAAAGAAAAGACTAAAGTTATTAGCACAACCAAAAACTAATGAGAATAATACAAAAAAATGGAAAGGAATTCGTAAAGAAGTAAAAGAAATAAGAAGAGGACTTGATGAACTTATTCAACAAGAAAAAGAAAAAAAGGTTAAAGAATTAAAAATAATTAAACTTGAAGAACTTCAAGAAGAAAGAAAAAAAGAAATTGAAGAATTAAAAAAATTAAGGGAAAAACAGCTACAAGAAAATCAAATAAAAGAAGAAAATGATGACCAAACATCAAGTAGTGAAAGTGAATATAAAATTGAACAACAAGATTCATTAAAAAAACAACCTTTTGGTAATTCTGTTTTACGTCAAATAGAAGAAAGTAATGTTATGGAAGAAGAAGAAAAAATAAATAAAGACAATAATCAGTTTAATGAAGAAGATGCATTCTTTCATTCAGACCAAACAGCAAGTGAAGAAATTGAAATGGACAATGAAGAAAGTGAAAGTGATTCAACAACATCAATTAGTAACGATAGTGACTAGTCCATACAATGTGATGATTATAATAAATTAAATTATATTTAAACTTAAACTCTCTTTTACTTTTGTTTGATAAAAAACTTATAATTTAATTTTTTATGACAAGATTAACTGAGAGTGATTTATTGCGTTTACTTGAAGAAATGAAAACAAAATATGAAGAACTTTCAAGAGCTAAAAAAGAAATTGAAGACAACAGTATTGTTAATGATTTAAAAACAAAAGTAAAAAGTTTACTTATGATTATTAGTTATTTAGAAAAGAATCAAAACAATGGAAAAGATGAAAATTATAAAAGAATAAAAGAGTTGGAAGAAGAAAATCAAAAGCTTAAGAACCAAATTGCAAGTTCTACAGTCCAAATAAATTTAGTTAAAACAATGAAGAATCTTGAAGAATTGCAAGAAGATTATAATGCCCTTGTTGAATTAAATGAAGAAATGGAAGAAGAAAATAAACAATTAAAAGAAGAAAATAAAGAACTTAAAGAACAACTTAATAAATACATAGACCAACAAGATGATGTTGAAGAATTAAAGAGATTAATTGAGGTATCAACAAACAATTATAATGAAACACATCAATTATTAATAAATCTACAAAAAGAAAATGGTAATACTCAATCTGAAGATTTAATGATAATCCAAAAGAGAACAGAAATGATTATTCATAATCAAAATGAAAGAAATAATGTATTCTTTAAATGGAGTTGTTTAGACTATAATTACAATCATCAACCAATATCTAAAAATGGAATAACTAATACATTGAAATATACGATTAAAGACCAATATGGTGGATGGACAATTTCTTTTGAATATATCCAATCACTTGGTACTATTATTGCAATATATTCCAATTCATGTTTAATTTTTCAACGACCATATTTATGTGGTTTATATAATGAATCAACAACTTTATGGGTTCAAGATAAAGGGACATATTGTATTGTTACAATAAATGATATAAATGAAGTAACTTCATATACTCCGTTGATTCTTTAATAATTAAATTTATTTATTTTAAATTAGAAAGTTCTACTAGAAAGTGAAACTTTTCATACAAGGACAATAAAAGTTTTAAAGTACATTAAAAAAAAAACTCAATAAAAAAGAAAATTGGATATGATGATGTGGATACAAGAGTTTTATAAAGAAATTTCGAGTTTATAAAATTGTTGCAAGAAAGTAAAAAACATTGTTTCATTTAGAATCAAAAAAATCTTTCTCTTTGCGTTTTAAGATTATCTGTTAAATTTAAATAACATTCAATGCTTATTATAATTATTATAACAATTTTCATTTATTGTTGTTTATCAGAAACAACAGAGATGACATGGTGTGATTCAAATGATAGAGGACTAATTCAATATGTTAATGTTTCAAAAGGGTTATGTGATTATACAGATAAAAATTGGCATGGAGTGTTATTTTCTTATTTTAGTGATAGTGACTGTTTTGAGATATATAATAGTTGTTGTTCTAAAGAGGAAACTCGAGTTGGTCTTAATGAGTTTCATTTAATTGATAATGTTTATGATGGTAGAAATTCTAAGAGAATTATTAGATTTAATTTTAAAGGAAGTCCATATGCAAGAGCATTTCATAATATTATAATTGAAGAATATCATCCAAGAATTAATTTTGTTATTAATACTTATTATATTCTTCCTAAAAGTATTATCACTTTAACAGGAAGAGAAATTACTTATGAAGATTATCCATATTTTATTATCGCAGAGTCAAGACCATTTACTATTAAAACTTCATTAGAAAATACATTAGAATATATTAATTTAAATTATACATGGGGATTTTCCCCAGGAGTTTTTATAGAAGGACATATTGCAGTAAAACTAACAAATGAAACAATAAGAAATGATTGTCAATACAGATATACATCAGATCAATATGTTATTAATAGAGGAGTTGATAATAACAATTTACAAGTATTAGATATTTGTTATTCTCATAATAGACATAGAATGGCTATTTGTGGAAGGAATGTACCAATAACATATCAAGACTGTTCTTGTTCTTATTCAAATTTTGAATATGAAAATTCAGCAATAGATTGTTCATTTTTAAGTAAGTATTTATCATTTAAAATAAAACCAAATCAAGAATTTATTCCTTATGAAAGAGAATGGTCAACACTAATAACAACTGGTGTTGATAGTAAAATTACTATACCAAAAGATTCTTCAATGATATTTTTTAATGATGTTTATTTACCAAATGCATCCTTAAGTATTGATGGTACATGTATATTTAAAGGAACTATTCATATTGAAAGGAGTGATGTTTTATATAATTTAGGTCATTTTCAAGCAACATCATTTGAATATGGTTCTATTGAAATTTCTAAAGACCCAGTACTTTTTATTGGGAAATGCAATAGTAATTTAACCGAATGTAATAAATTACTTTCAAATAGTAATATAAAAGAAGTAAATTGTGGAGGAGTTTTAAATAGATATTTATACAGTAGAAGTACATTAGGATGTAAATGTACACAAAAAGATTCTACATATTTTGAACAATCAGATTGTTCATATTTAACTGAAGGAAGACAAAATAGAATGAAATTAGTATTAGAATATAATTATAATAGTGGACTAACTAAAAAATATTGGAGTAGTATTTCAGGCAAAAAATATGAAAATGGAGAATTAATTGAAAGTATTACATTAGAAGGAAGTTCTATTATTGTTGAAAATGAGTGTGATTTTAGAAATATTAAAGTAATAGAATTAAAAGGGTCTTTAAGATGTGGTATATTATATTTAAGTAATACTACAAAAATTATTGGATATGCTGGAAGTTCTTTAAGAACTTATTCTATTCAAATTGATAATATAGTTTCAAATATGAATAAAGAGGCATTAATAATTATGGGAGATGGTGAATTTATCAGTGATGGAAGTATGAATAAAGTATTATCAAATGATCAAACAGAATGTTTTGAATTAGTTAGTTTTAATAATGAAGTATCAAAATCATTAGATGAATCTACTGATGGAAAATATGTTTCATTAGTTGTTGGTAAAATGATTCGTATTTGTCCAGAAGGGTATAATAAAGATGATAGACGTAAAATTATTTGTTCAGTAGAAAATGGAATATTTGGTAATTTTAAATATCATCAATGTCCATGCAAAGGAAATGAATGTTATTATGATCTTGGTGAATGGAAAGAGATTACTATTAGTTCTGAAAAGGAATATGATATAATTGATGGAAATATTATTATTATTAATCCAAATATTATTTTTAATAATGTAAGAAGTATTTCTTCTATTCAAAGTAATATCATACCAACTATTCAATTAAATGGAAATAATAATATAATTTCTATTAAAATAAATACAAATAAAACAATGAATATTATAAGTAATCAAAATATTTATTTATCTGGAAATGCAGAGGGTGTTAGTATTAAAACAACAAAAAATAATGGAAATATTAATATTGTTGGAGTATATAATCAAATAGGAATTAACACGAGTTATACAACAACGATAACTATTGAAAATGGTAATTCTATTGCAAGTATAAATAATCAAGGAGGATTTGATATCTCAAATAATAGTTTAATAGGAAATAATAAAGTAAGATATTCTATTGATGGAAGATGTAGAATAGGAAGAATGATTAATGAACGATTTATTTGTGACTCATGTGGAAAAGATGAAATAAAAGGAAGTTGTTTAGAAAATATAAATGTTGATAATTGTTTAACATATGGAATAACAGGGAGATGTATTGAATGTCAAGAGAAATATTATCTTAGTAATAATATTAAAGAAAACGAAATTAATCAAAAATGTATTTATTGTTTAGATAGTCATTGTAAAAGATGTTCAAAAGAAGAATGTTATGAATGTGAAGAAGGATACAAATTAGAAGAAGGAATGTGTAAATATCATGATACAAATTGTAAATTTTATTCAAATGGATATTGTAAATTATGTCAAAATGGAGAATATGTTAATAACATACAATATTGCTCAGAATGTGAAATAAATAATTGTGAAGTATGTAAAACACATAATCCAAAACAATGTGAGATATGTTCAAATGGTTATTATTTAAATAAGAGTTTATTATGTGAAAAAATAAATATAAACAATGAAACAGTAAATTCAGGAGCAATAAGTTGTTATGAAGGATATTATAATGATAATGGAATATGTAAAGAATGTAAAAAGAATAATGAATATGGGAAAGAATGTTTGGAATGTACAAACGAGAAATGTCATAAATGTGGAAATGAATATATTTTAAATAATAAACAATGTGAAAAGAATACAAATGAGTACTGTGAAGTAATAAAAGACTCTAAATGTATGAAATGTAAATACGGATATTATAATCCATCTTCATGTACAAAATGTCCAAAAGGATGTTTATCATGTTATGGGACAATAGAAAATGTTATATGTCTTGAATGTGATAATAAAAATAATTTAACTTTATGGTTAATTGATGGTCAATGTAAAAGTCAAAATCAAATATTTTTATTAAATGATTCATTAAAAATAAAAGAACATCAAAACTTAGATAAATGTAGTATTAATCAAAAAGGTATTTGTATTAGATGTTCTGATGGATATTATGAATTTAATTCAAATTGTCTTCCTTGTAATTCAAATTGTTCAAGCTGTTTAACTACATCAACACAATGTTTATCTTGTTCTGACTCTACTAAAATTGTCAGTAATTATGAATGTGTTTCTGATGAAGAATTCTCTAAATCTTGTAAACAAAAAACATTAAGTAAAGTTGGATGTGCTATTTGTAATGATGGATATTATAGAAAAGGAACATCATGTCCAAAATGTCCAAAAACAATGGAATTATGTGAAAGAGAAGATTTACCAATAAAATGTAATGTTGGATATTTTATGTATCATTCTAAAGAATGTAGACCAAAAACTGAATTAACAAATTGTGTTACAATTGATTCAATAGGTTGTAGTAAATGTTTAGATGGATATTATGTTTATGACTCTTATTGTTTTAGTTGTCTAGATAATTGTTATTCATGTAGTAATAGTAATAAATGTAAATTATGTTTTGATGGATTTGTATTAAATGGATTAAAGTGTGTGTCTTATAAAACAATAGAACATTGTGAATCTTCTTCAAACAATGTTTGTACTTCATGTTCAAGAGGTTTTACAATAAAAGGAAATATTTGTGAAAGAAAGTCTATGTGGTGGATAAGTTTAATTGTTATTCCAATATTCACATTAATAATTGTTATGATTTATTTCATACTTACGTTAATTTCAAAAAAAATAATTAGACTAAAACAAGATAATACTTTAAATTTAAAAGACTTATTCTCCTCAGAACATTTTCAAGAAGTTCTTCCTGGTATATTAGTGACAAATAATAAATTTACATTGGTTGGAGATGAATACATTCCAGTAAATGAAACAACCACTTTAAAATTAATAATTGCTAATCATGGCAAACATAAAGTTAAGATTCAATCATCTCATATCCCTTCCAAAAAATATCAATTTACTATTCAACCAAATTTAGTCTTTTTAAGACAAAATAAAGCTATTGAAATTACTATTGATATTACACCTATTTGTTCTACTACTATATTACAACAAATTAGATTTTCTGTATATAATTTTAAATTTAATAAAGAAATGGATTTTTTTGTGGATATTAATATTGAAACGGAACAGACATGTATATTAGATCCAGACGAACTTATTCAAAAGAAAAAAATTGGAGAAGGATCTTTTGGTGTTGTTTATAAAGGTGAATTTAAAGGAAATAGTGTTGCTATTAAAAGAATGAAACCAAAAGTTAATGATAGTAATTCTGAAATAGAATTTAGAAAAGAGGTAGAAATGTTAGCAAAATTTAGATGTAATTATATTATTCATTTCTATGGAGCAGTAATAATTCAAGACAATAAATGTATGGTTACTGAATATGCAAAATATGGATCAGTACAAAAAATGATTGAATCAAAACCATCAAATTCACTATCTAAAAGTATTAAAATAAAAATGTTATTAGATATTGCTAGAGGAATAGAATATCTTCACAATAATGGTATTCTACATCGTGACATTAAACCTGATAATATGTTAATAACTTCCCTTGATAATGACATTCCTGTTAATGCTAAACTTACTGATTTTGGAAGTGCTAGAAATATAAATTCATTAATGACAAATATGACATTTACAAAAGGTGTTGGAACACCTTCTTTTATGGCTCCGGAAATATTAAAAAGAAAAAAATATAAAACAGCCGCTGATATTTATTCATTTGCTATTAGTATTTACTCTGTTATGATTTGGGAAAATCCTTATCCAAAACAAGAATTTGAATATCCTTGGGTTATTGCCACTTTTGTAGCTTCTGGACATCGAAGACCACAAAACAATTTACCTGATTATGTTTATAAACTTATATGTGAATGTTGGTGTGATGAACCAACTAATAGACTAAATATAGAACAAACAATAAAACAGCTTGAAATTATTCAAAAATCCATTCAATCAAAACATCATTAATTTTTTGTTATTTATTTATTTTTTTTTCATTTTAAATATTTTAATATTTAAAAAAACAAAAAATTAGAACACTAATAATAGAACTAAAGTTTATTTGTTGAACATCTTAAAATTATCAAAAAATAAATGAAAGTATTAAAATACATATTCAACATTTTGTTAATGATTTGTGGGGTCTGTTTTGTTGCTTTGAGTGGATATTATATTTATGAACTTTCATTTTCCATTCGAGAAGGAGAACAAATCTTTAATCTTATTGTTAATGCATTAGCAGTTTTAGTACTTAATTTCTTAATGATTACAATGTGGCTTGCATGTATCTTTGCAAATCGAAAAATGTTTCTTAATGTTTGTCTGATTTCTTTTCAATCATTCGTTTCATCGGAAATATTTTTTTATTTCTTATGAAAAAGATGATTATTTTATTTTAAATAGAAGAAAAGGACACTTATATTTAAAGGTGTTTATCATATCAGGAACGTCTGCTGTGGTTACGATTATTCAATTTGTCCTTAGCATTATTTTAAGATCAAGTTGTAATAATGATAATAATTATGTTGGTTATCAAGCTTTTTGTGATACCTTTGCCAATTTCTCTTGGATGGCTCCAGTCATTATTACTTTTGTATTGGATGTATTAACTGCTATTTTTTCAATTATCCGTTTCGCTTTCTACAGAAAGTGGGAGTGGGACTAATTCCATTAATTTTTGTTTTTTCGTTATTTTGTGTAAATCAAGAGTTAAAAATTATTATTCCTTAAATTGAATTAAAATTAATGTCATTACATTTAAGTTAATTGTTCAAACAACACTTCACAAATAAAGTAAGATAAAACCACATTCTTTCTAATAACTTTTTAGTTGACTTCATTTTAATTTGGTTATTGTATTTTCTTTGAAAATATAAAATAGAAAATCCAATTCTCTCAAAGAATAATTACAACTGAAAACATTAGAAATAAATGTGTTTATAGAACAATAGTAAATGAAAAAGTCTTGTTTGTAACCAAGGGATAATAAAAGATAGAAATGAAAATTAAATAAATTTAAAAATAAAACAAAAGTATATCTTATTTAAAATATTCAATTAATAAAAATAATAATAAGCAATTAATTAAGTATTA